TTAAAGACAAAGTAGACAGCAGATATGTGGTGAGAATAGGGCGTAGATTCTTGTTCCCTTCCGACAAAGTGGCACATTTTCATTCATTTGAAAGAAAGAAAGGCAAGTGTATTGATCGGGAATCGAGCCCGGCACCTCATATCTCCGAGTCTGATTCTCTACCAACTCAGCAACCCCATTCTGAAGCAACGTGTGATGAGTTCCATGTTCAAGGAAATTAGTGGAAATACATATAATTAAGAAGTATAAGTGTTTATCTACTTATGATTAAGCAATTAATGGGTTATATTAACAACTTCACGTCATATTCGAACTGAACAACCTCTAAAGATAGAATAAACTACCTGTGTTATTTTACTCCTAGAGATAAAACAGAAAATCCAAATTATCTACCACAACATTGTGGACCTGACTCACAGAATGAAATTTTTTACAGTCAGTCATCCATCCAGTACAGAAGACAGGCCATTGCGTACAGATTTTAGCAGATCAAAACAGATGCAACGCAATATTCAGCTTGCCAAATCATCGACCGACATTGAATAAACCGTTAGACATTTTTATATTGCTGTAATGTACCATCTTTTCATGCGATAGTTTTCATGAAAACAACCACGGCCCAGTAAGAAATCAAATCACTGTCAGTTCTTGTGATACTCAAATTTTGGTGATTCAACTGTTACTTTTTTCAGTATTAATAAAGTTCCTGGACTTAACATGCGCTTAGGAAATAGTTTCGGTCACTGTACTCGCAGAGCCGGTAATAACTGAACCTCGGTATCCTCGACGCGAAGAGTAGGCAACGGTCCATGTATGAAATATCACCGCAGCGCATGCGCTATTAAGTCTATACAGCTTGCCATGACCGTGAAACCGACGACTTATGAGGTATTGGTATCAGGAGCTGTCGAAATTATATATGCTCCTAAATCGGTCTGGAACAATGACAATGTTTTCCTCAGTGGCAATGCAAGACCAAAAAATGAGGCCAAGTATCTGCATTAATCCACAGTGATAGTGTGTTGTAATTACTTTATCTCTCCGTTCAGCCTCTGAACAGAAAACGTCGGCTAACGTGCATTGCGATGATACTCTGATTGTTGTGATTTTAGCTTTTCTGCTAATGTTTCGAGGAAACGAAAACGGCACTTATCACCATATATCAATACTTACTTCAGTGCCATTTAACTTCGAGACATCTATTACTATTTTGGTTTCAGACAGGCATTAAAGCACCCTTTGCTTTGCTTTGCGACAAGACTTTTCTTGTTACGTGTGTCCAGATCATCTTTACAGACAAAACATCACGACGACATGTTCTGGACAATAACGCAATAAGCGATTTGAGCTTCCCTTAAAATGGCTAAAGAAAGGAGCTTTTAAGTGTATGAAAGCAGCTTACAACTGTCAAACGATACGGAACACCTGGATGCAGGAATTAGACTACAGGTACGACTAAACCTGAGGCTGTGCCTTGGATAGGGACCAGATATTTTTTTCATGACAGGAAGCAAGATAAAACATGCGGATATTGATCAGACGGAATAGTGGAAATGAAGAAACAACGATTCATGAATATGAAGCGACTATTAAGGCAGGTGAATCAAGCTGCTGTAGTAGTGTGGCTAAATAATCATTAATGCTCACAATGATGCCGTACCGTTAATGACTTGAATGAGACAGGATTTTTGATTGCATAATTAACATAGCGGATAAATACATTAATCACGGTATTGTAACTGACAGAAATAACAATAAAAGGCTCGATTAAACGGAAAATAAAACTAAACGGAATGAGAAACCAGGAAAGAAATGGAAGGCAGTAATAAAACAATTTTTGGATTTGCTGAGAGACTGCGCTATTGCGTATGGGGCAAAACTGAATAAACCGATTTGAATAAATAATGTAGAACAAGGCAGCATAATGCGAAGAAGCTTAAATGATAAAATCTATTCAAATAGTAAATAAATGTATGAGAAATGCCAAGATGAGGCAAAGTATTTGCAAATAAGGATGGCGCAGAGATCTTGCTAGTCAGTCGGTTAGCTAGTTGAATAATAGATGTAGGGGTTGATGACTGACATGGTGAGAGATAAGTTGAAGAATACAAATGTGTAAGCAGCAAACATTCTGCAGGAACAAATGCCACAGTCAAACAATGTTGTGTGACTGAGAAGAGAAATTTTAGATCCTGTCACTAATGTCACGTCCTCAATGGCAGAGCTACTACATTTCAACCTCTTTCTATAGAAGACAGCCGTATCAATGCGTTATCATTTTGTTGAACCAGTCGACGGGGCCCGGTTTTTCGATGAAGGGATTAAGTTTTCTACTAGTAGGCACTTCAATAAACCGGCCCCTACTTATTACCCATATGCAACTATATGACTTATTCTTTTCTTATCCCGTAGCGTCGTTTCTTCAGCAAACCTCAAAGACTATCCAAAGACCATAGAGTCTCCTGTAAGACTTCAGTGTTTAGCAGAACTCAATAGTGCTTCTCATAAGGTCGGTGCTCACAAATAGGAG